GATCCTTGGAGAACCGTTGCCGCTTTGCATTAGAAGTTGTTGAAGGTGTTGTTGAAGAAATTGGGGCAGAAAGAGTTGGAGTGAGACTTTCACCCTTTTCAGACTACAATGAATGCATTGACTCCAACCCTCAAGCATTGGGTCTCCACATGGCCAAATCTCTTAGCAAACATGGTGTGCTTTATTGCCACATGGTTGAGCCAAGATGGGACATTTCTGGAGTGAATAAGGAAAGCCCTTACACTCTAGTACCAATGAAGAAGGCCTTTCATGGAACTTTCATTGTTGCTGGAGGGTATGATAGGGAAGAAGGTAATAGGGCTGTGGCTGAGGACAACACAAATCTTGTTGCTTATGGTCGTTTATTTTTGGCTAATCCAGACTTGCCTAAGAGATTTGAAATTGATGCACCACTCAACAAGTACAATAGGGACACCTTCTATACTCCTGATCCCGTAGTGGGTTATACTGATTACCCATTTCTTGAAGACAATGCTTAAGGATCACATTTATTAGAAGTGCATGTTTACTCTATATATGATTTACATTATTTGATGTTTAAAAGTTGTTTAATCTAGATTTTCATTTTTTACCAAATAATATAATGTAACATATCAGTATTACTGTTCTTAATTTGTTATACTAAAATATCCGAAGTATTATAATTTATCTGATGATGAAAAATGGGAATAGATGTTAAATTAATCTTTATTATTGACGTCAATTGTATAACAACATAACATGTTGATATAATGATTATTAAAATATTAAATAATTACATTCAATTGCATTTGACATTAAAATTAAACTACAAAAATTGTGTAGATCTAGTATATACATACTTACTATGTTATTTGAGTGGTTTTAAAAGTTTCAATTAAACCAAACATGTTAGGCTTGGATCCCAAAACTATTTCTATTTAAAAAAAATACTTTATAAATATTATTTTTGATTTAAAGGTTTGCACAAAGATAGAGGACTAGAAATGAAAAAATGGGTCATGGCTCACGGGTCGATTTTTAAAAAGTTGGGAAAATTTATCAATTTGTCCCACTTAATCCACTAACCTGTCGAATCAAATGACTTATCAGGATAGATTGACCCATTTAAGTTTTACTTATTATTTTTAATGTTAACTTTAATTAAGTTATATCAAATTTATTATGTGTGTAATCTATGATTTGTTGTGTAGCAAATTTATTATACATTTAATTTATTTTATTATATGTAATTTGAGATTTGTTGTATAACAAATTTATTGAAATAACTATTAATATTATAATTACATATCTATTTTATTATGTAATAAATTTATTGTACAGTAAATCAAACCAAATCTGTTATAATTTAAAATTTATTTTATTATTTAGGTATTTATTTATATGGATGCTTTAAATATTGAGAAAGAAATATGTTGGGAGAGATATCCAAAATAAATAAGTAAATTTTTCTCCCTTTTAATTTTATTTGTGGACTGGCTAAGGTATTCAATCTGTTGTTGCTTGGTGGGTTGACCTAACCCATTTTTGACAAGTTGATTACAAGCTAGACCTAAACACATTGGACTGATCCATTTTACCATTTTTTATATAGGATTGCATCGTGCAATAAATACATACATAAAAAATCGAAAGTGCTCTTGAAGTAAAGAAGTGAGTAAATAAAAAGGATTAATTATATGTAAATTCTACCTCACAAAAGTCATCCTCTAAAACAATCAATTGAAATTTGTGTTTTTAAATTCTAGAACTATTTTGTTTTATTGCGTGAAAAAAAAAATGCTAATTGAATTCCTCCAAATTTTAACGAACTTTTAAAAAATCTTAATTATATTAATTAAATACTACAATATTTATTTTTTATGTTAAAAAGATCTTAATACAATACTACAAAAAAAATTATAATAAAGAAAAATTTTAAAAATATTTTGAAGATTTAATCCAATATATTCCCCTTAACTTTTAATTTTGACTATCATAATTCATAAATTTGTTGTAATATTTTTATCTCATATTTCGGCATTTTGAATTTAAAATTAATATCATTATTTTATCTGTAACAAAAATGTTTGTGATTAATTATTTTATTATATTAGATTTATTTTAATTAAATATTTATTTGTACATTGTATTTATTATTCAAAGGTCAGTTACCTTTTTAATCCATATGTTTTCACAAACTTTATTTTTTATCTTTATAATTAAAAATTTTCATTTTAGTTGTAACGATTCGCTATGGTTAGTACACACACAATATAGCATTACTGTTGTTAATTTGTAAATAAGAAAATATCTGAACTACTATAATTTATCTAACGATGAGAAATTGGAATAGATGTTAAAAACAAGGATCATGATTCACGGACCGACCCACAAAAAATTGGTAGCCTAATAAGATAGATATTCGAACCCGCCAAACTGTCTTACTTAACCTACTAACATGCCGAGTCAAATGGCTTGTTAAGATAGGTTGACCCACTTAAATTTTACTTACTACTTTTAATGTTAACTTTTACTAATTATATCAAATTTATTATGTGTTTAATTTGTGATTTGTTGTGTAGCAAGTTTGTTATGCATTTAATTTATTTATTATATGTAATTTGAGATTTATTGTACAACAAATTTGTTGAAAAAATTATTAATATTATAATTACATATCTATTTT